ATCTCCTCAAAAAATTTCAACAGATTTGTCAAGCATGAATTCCCTTTGACAAAGCTGTGCTGACTCAGCCCTATTTTACCACGCACTTCCAAGTTCTCTCCAGTCTCATCCATAATAATGGACTCTAAAATCTTAGCAATAACTGAGGTCAGGCTAACCAGCCTATAGTTTCTTGTCTTCAGCCTCCCACCCTTCTAAAACAGGGCTATTACATTAGCCGTTTTGCAGTCCTTTGGGACCCTCCCTGACTCCAGTGATTCCTGAAAGATCACAACCAATGCCTCTACAATCTCCTCAGCTATTTCCTTCAGAACTTTGGGGTGTTGTCCATCTGGTCCAGGTTATTTATCCACCTTCAAGACATTTCAGCTCCCCCAGCACCTTCTCCTTAGTGATGGCCACCCACTCACCTCTGCCCCTTGACTCTCTTGAAGTTCTGCTATGCTGTTGGTGTCTTCCACTGTGAAAACTGATGCAAAGTACCAATTCAGTTCCTCTGCCATTTCTTTGTTCCCCATTGCTACTTCTCCAGCCTCATTTTCCAGTGCTGCAATGTCCAGTCTTGCCTCTTCCTTACCTTTTATATATTTTAAAAAAGCTCTTGCTGTCTTCTTTAACACTAGCTAGTTTACTCTCATATTTCATCTTCTTCTCTGTTATTGCTTTTGAATTGTCTTGTGCTGGGTTTTAAAGGTTTCACAATCCTCTGGTTTCCTACAAATCTTCACCATATTGTATGTTTTTCCTTTTGCATTTATGCTGCCCCTGACTTCCCATGTCAGCCACAGTTGCCTTGTCCTCCCCTTAGTATGTTTCTTCTTCCTTGGGATGTATTTCTGTTGTGCCTCCTGAATTACCCCCAGAAACTCCTGCCATTGCTGCTCCACCGTCTTCCCTGATAGGCTCTCCTTCCAGTCAACTCTAGCTAGCTCCTCCCTCATGTCTTGGAAGTTACTTTTACTGAATTGTAATACCGTTACATCTGATTCCAGCTTCTCCCCCTCAAACTGTAGGGTCAATTCTATCATATTATGGTCACTGTCCCCTAAGGGTTCCTTCACCTTCAGCTGCCTAATCAAGTCTGCCTCACCAAATCCAAAATTGCCTGTTCCTAAGTGGGCTATACCACAAGCTGCTTGAAAACACCATCTTGCAGCCATTCCACAAATTCTTTGTCTTGAGACCTGCTACGAAACTGATTTTCTAAGAGCACCTGCATGTAGAAGTCTGCCATGATTATTGTAATAGTGCCTCCCTTACATTCCTTTTCTATCTCCTGACTTATTTTCTTCCCCTGACGACTACTAGGAGGCCTTTCCCATCAGGGCCTTTTACCCTTCGCAGTTCCTCAACTTTACCCAGGCAGATTCCACGCCTTCTGACTATATCACTTCTTGATACCGATTTCATTTCATTTCTTACTAACAAGGTTCCTCCCCTCCCTGCACCACCCCCACCCCCCACCCCCTGCCCATCTCTCTGTCCCTGCGATAGGACATGTATCCTTGGATATTTAATTCCCAGCCCTGAACCCCTTGCAGCCACATCTCTGTGACACCCACAACATCGTTCCTGCCAATTTCAATCTGCACTACAAGCTCATTTACCTTGTTTCATACACTACATGCATTTAAGTACAACACCGTAAGTCCTGTGTAGACTGTCCCCCTTTTCATAGTTGTCCCCTTTTCCACACTTTCTGTCCTATTACTTGTTCTAGAAACTTTAATAACCTCTGCTGAGCCTCCCCCACCTTTATCCTTTTCCATAATTTTCCATACAACTCAATCCATGCCCTCACTATTTAGTTAAAGCCATATCCACAGCCCTAGTTATGTGATTCTTGTGCCTGGCGAAATTCAGTCTCTTGAAAGACAATATATCAGCTTGCATCTTTTGCCAGTCCTGTTTTTCTGCAGAATTGCAACTGTGACCCTTCAAATTTCTGTGTTACTTTTCAAAATAATGCGAAGGGAACATCTCAGTTACAGTAAATATCAGAGCCAGAATATCTTCACCGCCTTCCTCTATCCCTGTACCAACTCACTCGATGATTATTCAGAAGTGGTTAGAATTTTAAAGAGTCATACATTTACTCTTCAGCAACAGAATAATAATTTCTCCAGGAATTTCCTCCAAACTGCTCTGTGACTGTGATTTATTCAGATTTGTGACATTTTTGCCACCTTCCTGGCTGAGTTACAGAAGCTGGGTCTGAGTGAGTTCTTAACATTGGTCATGACTTTTCAGGAAAATAGCAATGAGGCTAACAAAAGTGATCATTAATACTGTGGACATTGTCAGTGATGTCTAGTGAACACACACTGTAGTTAAACTCTAAGTCTGCAAGTCACTGAGCTGCATTGAGCCACCATAAACAGCACAGAAATGGCACCTTGCCATTTGTTTCCCCATTCAGGTTTATTAAAAGGCATTGTGTCTGTGTACTGCCATTCAGAGATGGAGTATGAACTCACCACAGAAAGTTAGGGCCTCTTCATTTCACTCTGAGTATGCATTAAATGACATGATTATAATTAATTGCTGCTACACTACCTCTCTGGTACTGAACATTAACTTTTCCAAGTGTGGAATCTCATTCCCTCAGACTTCCATTATTACAGATGTTTCAAGAATGAATATGTAATTACTTTTTTGAACTATTGATGTATCTTTTATTTCATTCTCTTAAAACATAGAAACATAGAAAATAGGAGCAGGAGTAGGCCATTCAGCCCATTGAACCTGTTCCGCCATACAATATGGTCATGGCTGATCACCCAGCTCAGTTCCTTGTTCCTGCTTTCTCCCCAATACTCTTTCATGCCTTCACTATATCTAACTCCTTCTTGAAATCAGCCAATATTTTGACTTCAATCACTTTCTGTGACAGGGAATTCCACAGGCTCCCCACTTTCTGAGCGAAGGCATTTCTTCTCATCTTAGTCCTAAATGGCCTACCCCGTGTGCTTAGACTGTGACCCCTGGTTCTGGACTCCTGACTGGGGGCTCGTGAGATTTTGAAAAGTGTGAGGAAAAGCGTCAGCTACCAAAAGAGGAGGAGAAGAGAGTGTTTGTTGTAGCTGGTGGAGAAATATGCAAACAAAAAGGAATCAAAATGTGGAAAGAGATCGTGTATGAAATTTATGAACATATTGTTGAGTCCAGAGGGCTGGAGAAAAGTGCCCAATTGAAAAATGGGCTGCTGTTTCTCAAGCTAATGCTGATCCTCACTGTAACAGTGCAGCAAGCCAAGGACAGAGATACTAGCAGTAGACCTAAAATGACAGGCCACTGGAGGCTCAGGTTTGTGGTAGACAGAGCACATGTTTTTTACAAAACAATTCAGCCAGTCTGCTTTTGGTTTGCTCTGTGTAGAGGAGACCACCTTGTAAGCAGTGGATATGGTAGACTGAATCGTAAGAAGTACATGCAATCCCTGCTTCACTCTGAAGGAGTGTTGGGCCTTGGACAGTGAGCAGAGAGGTGGTAAAAGAGAAGGTGCCGCATCTCCTGCGCTTCAATAGAAAGGTGCTGTAAGAAAGGGAGGGGTGCTAGGGTTGGATGGACTATGCTAACACAGAGAACAAAGCAGACAACTTCATTAGCAGCCCACCCACCTTGTCAAACATCTGCTCCCACGCCCACCGACATTCAGGAGCAGCAATGTGTGCTCTCTACAAAATGTACTGCCTCAACTCCCCAAAGCTCCTTCCACAGCACTTTGTGAACTTATATGACCTCTACCATCTAGAAGGACAAGGGCAGAAGATACATGGGAACACCACCCCCTGCAAGTTCCCCTCCAAGCCACTCACCATCCTGACTTGGAAATATATATATCCTTCAGTGTCGCGGGGTCAGAATCCTGAAGTTCTTTCCCTGTCCGTATTGTGGGTCTCCCTCCACCAACCAGATTACAGTGGTTGGAGAAGGCAGTTCCCCATTGGCTGGCAGTTAGGGATGGGCATAAATGAAGGCCTAGCCACTGACACCAACATCCCATCAATCGAATCTTTAAAAATGATCAATGATTGGCCTTATGGCCTGCTGATGAGAGTACTACCTGCTGAGTTATGGCTAACAGTTATCAGTTTCTAAAGTATCTCCTAATATTCCACGCCATCACGCAGTTTAAACAAAAGGAAATGAAAAACTAAATGACAATAAGAGAGTGGCTAAAGTTTCCCATCAGAGAAGGAATGGGCTAATGTCCTTTTACCATCACTCGTTGTCTCTGTATCTCTCTATTTCTGTCTCTGTGTCTCTCTGTCTCTGTGTCTCCGTGTCTCTCTGTCTGTCTGTCTCTGTATCTGTGTCTCACTGACTTACGGAGCTGTTACCAACCTGCCAGGTCTGTTGGCAGTCATGACAGAAAAGCATGGTGCTGTGAGTAATTTATCATCTTTTCCTGACAGGCTTCTCAGCTCAACATCCATCTGGCAATTCTTCAGAATGTAAACCGGGGCCAGCCCATCAGAGTAATCAGGAAGACATGCGTCAAAACAGTCAGACAATGATGAGTGATCCATTAAACAACAAGGTAAAACACAAGTCACATTTTCTCCTGATAAAAGGATACGCAATCAATGTAATCCATTTAATGAAAGCCACATTTTATGAGCATATCAAAACTGGTTTTCAGCAAGATTCTCATCAGGGAAATTAAACCATAATATTTGCACTTATGATTTTTGATTGTTAATTTGACAGGTTTATTTCTCTTTTAATAATTGTCTTTTCCTCTGAATGCAAAGGACTGAAAAATGGCAGATGGAGTTCAATGTGGATAAATGTGATATATTGCATTTTGGTACAACAAACAAGGGTTATGCAATTAATGGTAGGACCTTAGGTAGTGTTGTAGAACCAAGGGACCCAGGGTGCAGGTACATAATTCTTTAAAGTTTGTGTCACATATAGACAGGGCAGTTCAAAAGGTGTTCGGCAGACTTGCCTTAAATACTCAGTCCTTTGAATATAGGAGTTGGGAGGTTACGTTGAGGTTGTACCGGACATTGGTGAGACTAGGGGCACATTTTCAAAGTGAGAGGAGAGAGATTTAAATTTGCCTCTTAAGTTTTTTTATTACACCAAGGGTGGTTTGTGTGTGGAATGAAATTCCTGATGAGGTGGTGCATGCGGGTACAATTACAACCTTTAAAAGACATTTGGATGGATATATGAATAGTAAAGGTTTGGAGGGATATGGGCCAGGAGTAGGCAGATGGGACTAGTTTAGTTTGGGATTCTGTTCAGCTTGGACTGGTAGGACGGAAGGGTCTATTTCTGTGTTGTATGACTCTATGACTATCTAAGTTGTAGAATGTCTACAGTGTGGAAGCTGTCATTCAGCTCATGAAGTCCATGCCAACTTTTCAAACAGCATCCCACCCAGACCCACCAATCCCTGTAACCCTGCATTTTCCATGGCTAACCCACCTAACCTGCACATCCCTGGACATTATGAGCAACCCACCTAGCCTGCACATCTTTGGACTGTGGGAGGAAACCGGAGCACCGGAAGGAAACCCACACAGACGCAGAGAGAACATGCAAACTCCACACACACTGTCACCTGAGGGTGCAATTGAACCCGAGTCCCTGGTGCTGTGAGGCAGCTATGCTAACTGCTGAGTCATCATGCCTGCCATATGTTTGACCAATTTTTTCCCACCACATATTTTTGGGAATGAGTAATTCCCTATTCTGGTTCATGCTTTTTCTTTTGCCTCTGGAACAGAAGGCTGTGGGTTCAATCCAACTGTGGAGAATCGTACATAATCCAGGTTGGTATTCCTAATGCAGCACTGCCAGAATGCTGCACTGACACAGGTGCCATTCTTTGCAAAGCTAATAATCTCTGACTCCACCTGGCATCTCTACTTGATGTAAAAGATCCTATTGCTAAACTTTCTAAGATGAGCAGGCAGGTTCTCCCTGGTGCCTTATGCCCATTTTACCTTCCAATAAAACGCCTAAAACTGAATAACTGTCTGTTTTCCTCATCTTCAAAAAACTGAGATGTGTTCTGAAGAAGAATTATATCAGACTCAAAACTTTAACTCTATTTCTCTCTCTCCGGATGCTGCCACACCTTCTGCATCCTCTGCGTTTATCTCATTAATAATCGTGGATGCTTGCTGTGTGCTATTTGGCTGCTACATAGACTACACTTCAAAAGTTTTACAATGTCCTGAGACTGTTAAAGGTACTATCTAAACACAAGTCTACCTTTATTTTCTCTAATGTGGCAACAGCATAGACTAGTATTGAAACACTTTTAACTCCTGGCAGCAGCAATTGAGAAATCTGATATTTAATTCTGTTTTTAATTTTTGAATTCTTCTGAACATGTTCCAGCAGCTTTTCATCATTTATCTTCTAAGGATGCTCTATGTGACTTACTACAAGACAGACTGTATCCAGAAGCTGACAGATATGCATTGTGATTTCTGCCATACCCTAGTCCACTTTAATACAGAGATTTCCCCGAAAATGAAATCTGAGGTAAATGCTACAGCTTAACTGCAGCATGAGAAATAGCCCGCAGTACAGCAGACTGATCCTGTACAGTTTATCACTAAAGCCTGGTTTCAGCCTGGCCTTGTGTTTGCTCTCTTATTACACACGTGTTGTCCCCAATTGTTTGAGTAGAATATTGGGCTCTGGTTATGTGATGGGATTCTGTCTGTATTCCAACAGACCATTAGTCACAATGAATCACTTGATCCCCTGAGACAGCTCATTTACCCATCTGTTGTTGTATTTATTGTCCTTTCCTACATCCCATCGTACTTTGCTTCTCTTTCAACTGGCTTTCTTTATACAACATGGATGTGCATCTATACATGTTCATACACCTAACTTACTCGCACGCATTCACACACAGAACCGAAAGTACACATACATCAGGGAGGCAATGGCCAAGTGGTATTGTCACTGGATTGTTAACCCAGAGACCAAGATAATGTTCTGGGGAGATAGTAGGAACTGCAGATGCTGGAGAATCCGAGACAACAAGGTGCAGAGCTGGATGAACACAGCAGGCCTAGCAGCAAAAATGATGCTGCTTGGCCTGCTGTGTTCATCCAGCTCAGCACCTTGTTGTCTCTAATGTTCTGGGGACCTGGGTTTGAATGCTGCCACGGCAGATGGTGGGATTTGAATTCAATAAATATCTGGAGTTAAGAGTCTAATGATGACCATGTATCCAGTGTTGATTGTCAGGAAAAGCCCATCTGGTTCACTAATGTCCTTTAGGAAAGGAAACTGCCATCCTTACCTGGTCTGGACTAAACGTGACTCCAGACCCACAGCAGTGTGGTTGACTCTTAACTGCCCTCTGGGCAATTAGAGATGGGCAATAACTGCTGCCTGGCCAGTGACGCCCTCATTCCACATATGAATAAAAGAAAAAAAATTTCAATTATTACAATGCATTTGGTAATCGTACCCACACCATTTCTATACCAGTGCCAGTCTCCTGCCTTTCCCCCATATCCGTGCTCAGCCTTTCTATCCAAAGAATCACCTCTTGAATGTCTCATTTGAACCTGCCTTCACCACAGTTTCCAGGCTGTGCATTCCAGACTCTTAACTACTTGCTGTGTGAAAATGTTTTCTCTCATATCACCCTTGCTTTGTTTGCACATCAATTTATACATCACTTGTATACACACATGCATACATATTATGTACAAACACACACACACACATACACACACGTATTTACAGATATGCACACTCACACACACATTCACATGACCACACACACATGCACGTAACTACATGACACATGCACACATGCATATGTATAGAAGTATAGATAAATACACACTCCTAAACACACAAACATGTGTATGGATGTACAGAAAGACACAAACATACACATATACAGAAACACACATAAATACAAACACATATACAGACACACGTGCACACATGTATACAGATATACACATGCTTTTCAAAGTCTCCTGAATCTTGCCCAGTGGAATTTGACTGTTTGGGATGTGTTCCAAGTTGGAAAAGTATGAAACAGTGAATCGTTTCTAAACATTGGAGAAAGGGAAAGGAGACAATTGGAGAGGGACATAAAAGGGTGGCCATTCCAAATGATCTTCCTCAATAGCTGTTATAGGAAACAGTTGAACAGCCTGCTCACTGGTTGCCAGCCAAGGAAATGATCGAAGCTTCGTAAAGAAAGGAAGGATTAGTAACAAAATGCTAATTAAAATGCTGGGTGGCTGAATATTTATAAGGCACCTGGGTCAGATGGAATGATTCCAAGAGCACTTCAGGACATGAGGAGAGAGTAAGGGAGCTGTGTTTAAAGGTTCATTGAACATTTGGACAGTATTAGATGATTAGGAAATAGTGAATACAATTCCTGTTTCTAAAAAAAAACAAACTAGGGAGATTACAAACAAAAATTCACAAAGTTCATAGAATTGAAAAGATAACAATTTCAAGGCAGCATTGGAACAAGCATTTGAACTGAAAACAACAAATGCTGGACATCACAGTGGGTCAGACAGTGTCCATAGTGAGACAGTAAGCTAACATTTTGAGCTCTCCCTATTGTTGCGTGTGGGGTGGTCCTATGATCAAACAGGAATGGAACAGTTTGGTATCGGTTGATGCTTCTTTAAGCGTGCCTTCAGTGTTTGGACCACTCTTTCCACTAGACCATTGGACAATGGATGGTATGGAGCTGTCCTTATGTGCTGAATGCCTTTGGACTTTAGGAAATATACCTCCCTATATCATGAGCAATGCTCACAGCTTCTCAATCATCACCCCTGTGTTTGCTGAATGGACATTATGCATGTCCAACCACTTTGAATGGGCATCCACAATGACCAGGAACACTGAGCCCATGAAAGGACCGACATAGTTGACATGCAACCGAGTCCAGGGTTTCTCTGGCCATTCCCATGAATGTGGGGGTGCTGGTTGTTGCAATTTTTGTCCTTGTTGGCACTCTGGGCACTGCCCCACCAACCCAGCTACGTTGGCATCAACCCCAGCCACCAGACATATCTTCTTGTTGGCATCTTCATCTTGGAAAACCCTTGGATGACACTGGTGGAGTTTGGCCAGTATCTGGCAGCAAACTTTACTTGGGACAATCGCTCTTGCTCCCCACAGTAATATGCCGTTGTCCAAGATGATCTGGTCTTGCTGGGTCCGGAAAGGTTTCAATCTGGGGTGCGATGGCCCTTCTGTTTCCCACATTACCACCAGCTGTTCTAGTTTTGCTAGGATAGGATCATTTTATGTCCACAGTCGGATATTGTCAGCGGTGACTGGAAAGGGTCCAGAAAGTTTAAAACCAAAATGGGCTCTTCTGGGGGAGGGGGTCACCATGGGTGGAGTATCTGCCAGTGGGAGGCAGCTCAAGGCATCTGCATTAGCCACTTGGCTTCCTGCTTGTGTTCTAAATTGTACTTGTACACACTGAGAATAAGGGCCTAATGCTGAATTCTACTGGAAGCTATAGGTGGCACCATCTTGACAAATTCTCGTCCGTTAACAGTA